TGTGATCATATAAAAAAGAATTCTAGCAGTTTCTAAGAAGGACAGTTGGAAATCCTGAAGTTATACTGAAAGGTTAGGGGCCAGGTAGCATACTGAGTCATAAGATCCTCTGAATGGAGGGATGGGGCTCATATTTCTCGTTTTACTTCAAGCTCAAGTATTCCATAGTTGAACAAGAAATAAATTTGACCAGTTCTTAAACACAGCCAGCATCATAGATCACAGACATTTGGATCTGCTTTTGAACTGTCACACAATTCTTGGATGAATATACCCTTAAAAAAGAAAAATAGAACATTAATTTCTGAGTTGCCTGTTGATATCTAATAGGTGTTACTCTTTAGTCTTTGAGCCAATAGTTGTGTGTTATGAATTGATACAATTCTGTGTGGGACTGATCTAGAACACAGTTAAATAGTTATGTAAACATCAAGTTGACTCCAAGTTTTTTTTCATCATTCAGGACATATCTTTTAGAAAACCTGTAACTGCCTTAAATTTAAACACTGGTCTCTTTTCTTGGCTTTTCTTTTTGTTTTGCACCCTATTTGTACATTGATCTTTCTCTATCTCACTCTCACTCATTCACACACAAACATACACACATTAAAGCAATCCGAGATTCTTTTTGTTTCTGTGAAATCCCATTCAACCGATATTATCTCTACTATAATTACTCTAGTTTTTACTTCCTAATTTCAGAGCCTCGGCACAATTATTCTTTTCTTGATCTATTTAACAGTCTCCTGGTCCAGAAAAGTTATTTTTCCCTTAAAAAAGGACAGCTTGCTAAAGACAAAAGAAATACTTGTGTATTGCAACAGTAGTCAAATGATACCATAAAATTCTTTGCCAGTTTGGATACTGTTCATGCTTCACAGTTGGATTCTTTTCCACAACAGGCTGTAGATCAGACACTTTAAAGGTTCATAAGTTTATTGGCAAAGTGTGACTCTTAATAAGAGGGGTAACAGAAATTTCTACTGTTCCTGTTCCCATCAATTTAATGAGAAGAAGGTACACATGTCTCCTTAATTATGTACAGGGATAGAGAGACCATATGAACGAAAATACTATAATTCCCAAAGCTTTTTCTAGCAAGTCCACCTTATCCAAAACAAAACTACAAACATAATGGAAAGTCTGAGTCAATGTTTTTGGTTTAAGCAAGCATAAAAATTCAAAAAATACAAGAATGGTCAAATTTAAGTTCCTCTGTTGAGTTCTTAGTCCTCAAATCAGTGTCCCTATATATTCATACAGCATATTCCAGGAGCTGCCGATGGACTAGTGTATTGCCCAAAGCTCTGTGCACATGCCTAAATTTGGATCTAGTCCAATATCCTATTTTGGAGTAGTAATTGTGATTTCCTATATGGAATGTGTTGAGAGATCTTACATAAATGAAATTCTCAAATAACTTGAAGGGTCTGCTTTAAAGTACAGATATTTGGCATGAGCACAAAATAAATAATTCAAATCCAATCATACCCTGCTTCCAATAAGATAAAAACACAGTACTTAAATTCTAGGGCTAATATTTATATTACTGGCAATTAAATAACCCAGGGCCAACTGCACCAGCATATGGTCTCACAAGGGGTCTGAGGATCTCATCTTGGTACCTAATGGCAGTCAGGCTACCTCTGGCGAGCACATGGAGGGCTGTACAGCCCCTAAAGAAATGCCACCCCACACCATTACTGACCCACTGCCAAACCGGTCATGCTGGAGGATGTTGCAGGCAGCAGAATGTTCTCCACGTCTGTCACGTCTGTCACATGTGCTCAGTGTGAACCTGCTTTCATCTGTGAAGAGCACAGGGCACCAGTGCGAATTTGCCAATCTTGGTATTCTCTGGCAAATGCCAAATGTCCTGCACGGTTTTGGGCTGTAAGCACAACCCCCACCTGTGAATGTTGGGCCCGCATACCACCCTCATGGAGTCTGTTTCTGACCATTTGAGCAGCCACATGCACATTTGTGGCCCGCTGGAGGTCATTTTGCAGGGCTCTGGCAGTGCTCCTGTCCCTCCTTGCACAAAGGTGGAGGTAGCGGTCCTGATGCTGGATTCTTGCCCTCCTACGGCCTCCTCCACGTCTCCTTATGTACTGGCCTGTCTCCTGGTAGCGCTCCCATGCTCTGGACACTACCCTGACAGATACAGGAAACCTTGCCACAGCTCGCATTGATGTGCCATCCTGGATGAGCTGCACTTCCTGAGCCACTTGTGTGGGTTGTAGACTCCGTCTCATGCTACCACTAGAGTGAAAGCACTGCCAGCATTCAAAAGTGACCAAACCATCAGCCAGAAAGCATAGGAACTGAGAAGTGGTCTGTGGTCACCACCTGCAGAACCACTCCTTTATTGGGGATGTCTTGTTAACCGCCTATGCTTTCCACCTGTTGTCTATTCCATTTGCACAACAGCATGTCAATCAGTGTTGCTACCTAAGTGGACAGTTTGATTTCACAGACTTGGAGTTACATTGTGTTGTTTAAGTGTTCCCTTTATTTTTTTGAGCAGTGTAGTATCAATTAAAATGAAGCAGGGTTTTCAGGCTCTGAACTGTGATTCCAAATTGACTAAAACTGATTAACAATTCACAATGATTGTATAAAAACTGGCATTCATTTGAACTGCAACCCAAGCAATGCAATGGTGGGATTGGAATAACTTAACCAGTTCTCTGGCTGGATAGGCGTGGCTAGTTGGTCATGTGACCGGGTGACATCACTCATCACACCCAGCCCTGCCTCCCAGCCACTTGCCTCAAAGGCAGAGGTAGGATTCAACTGGTTGGGGCTAATCCCACCACTGGCTGGCCCCGCCCCCACCCGTTTTTTGCTTGGTTTGGGGGATGTTTTCAGGCCGTTTTTGGGCTGTTTTTGGTCCAAAAAACCAGCCAGAAAACAGCCAGAAAAATGGCCAGAAATGGTCCAAAAATGGCTAAAAGCAGGCCATTTTGGCCTTCTTTGGGGCTATTTTCAGGCTGTTTTTTGGGCCATTTTTGGCCCCAAAATGGTCTGGAAAACAGGCCAAAAATGAGCTGGGGCAAGGCCAGTCAGTGGTGGGATTTTCCAGTTTGTCGAACTGTGCAGAATATTAACTACTGGTTTGCCTGAACTGGTGCAAACTGGCAGCAGCCCACCTCTGAAGCAATAGTACTTTGTGAAGAAAAAATCTTTACTCAGTGTACTCAGTGAACCTTTACTCAGTGAACCTTTACTCAGTCACATTTACTGGATTACCTTGGCTGTATAAATTGGCTGTGGAAGTGTAAATCCCCAAAATGTACTTCCTCTGTGGGATGAAAACAGAGATTACTACAAAAATCAAACCATAGAAATATTGCCTGTATCTTCCACTAACCTTTCCCCCTCCCCCTTCCATTCAATCAGGTCAAATTCTTGGAGACTGCCTAGACAAGTTTTCTTGGCGAGGTTTTTCAGAAATGATCTGCTATTGCCTCTTTCCTAGGTCTCAGAGAAAGTGGCTGGCCCAAGGTCACCCAGCTGGCTTCATACCCAAGACTCAACTAGAAACTCCAGCCTGATGCCTTAACCATTTTTAGCCTGATCCCTTAACTGTTGCACCAAACTAGTTCTACAATTCCCTGCCTAGTATGTTTGGAATACATTGAATTTCAGCCCCATTCAGCACAAGTTGAAGAGGGTATTAAATGAAGGAAGCCTCATCTATAGTATAGTTCCACATGGAATCACAGAGTCTTTTTCCATTTGCACTTGACCACCTAAGACATAAGCATCTGTCAAAAAAAACATAGTTTTTCTTATGTTGCCTCCATTTCAGTCCCAGCCCTTGAATGAGGCAAGGGTTAAGTTGCCCTTTGCCATACAGGTATTAAAGTTGCATTTTGCCAATTATTTAAACATCACCCAAAGCAGCCTTGAGTTGTTTGAAATCTGTTAGGTTTTGTCACCCGTTACTTTGGACACCAGTCCCTCACCCCTTTCCTAAGAGGTCTGTAGGGGGTGTGCATAAGTGCACCAACGCCTACCTTCCCTGTCCTATTGTTTCCTTTTATTTTCTTATATGTATCCATTTCATGTATTCATAATTATGTTTATACTTATACCTATTATCTTGTAAGCAATTGACAAATCAAATAAATAAATAAATTTGTTGTGGCTATTGCCAATTTCTATGCAAAACAAAGGCAGTAGAGACTGTCTTCAAATTGGCAATAGGCACAACAAACTTCCATGTCAAAACACTTCAGCTCAGCAATTCAGAAAGTTTCATAAAAATATTGACAGTAAAAAAAAAAAAGCGATTTAGGCCACAGAAGTCAACTTTTATGTTCTGTCAGGAATGCAAAGGAATGCAAGTGACCGCCTCCAGCCTGTGCTTGAACCCAGCCAGTAAAGGGGATCCCACCGCTTCTCTGGCTAATTGATTGTTCAGTGGAGGAAACTTAGTGTTAGGAATCGTCTCCTAACATTCAGCTAGAGTGGCTTCTGTAATGCGAATCTCTTTGGATGACAGAGTAGGCTTCTTCTGTACTGCACTCTCTGTGGCTGCACCTGCTGACTTCGCGCCACCTTCCAACTTTTATAGACGCGTCTGCGGAGAGAGCGCGGAAAATTGGCAATCCGAGTAAGGCAAACTACTCCAGGTGGCTCCAGAGATGGGTGGGGAGCGGGAAGAAAACAACCTTTTATCTCAGCCGCCTTAATTGCGCAAATGGCCATCGCCTCGGACACTTGAGCTGCTGCCAGCCAAACCGACCTTTTCCCGTTTGGCACAAAAAGCCGCCAGGGAGGGAAGAGGGAGGGAACCTGCTCGCTCTGCCTCTCAGCGCCCCCGACTTGTTTTCGCGGGCTCCAGCGACACGAACCGCGACAGCGCCAGAAGCCCTCCCCTGTTCTCCCCACGCGCCCTCCCGGTTTCAGTCCAGCTCGCGAGTTTTGGCTGGCTGAAGCAAACACGACCTCCGGCGTGCAGCGGCAGGAGCTGCGAGCTCGCAGAGCAGGCAGCGCTGGGGCTACGTCAGTAGGGGCGCGCGGTTTAGACTTCAGCTCTTTAAAAACGGCGTGTAAACTGAGATGCTCCCATAGAGAGCCGAGCGCGGCAGCAGTCTTTTGGGTTAACGGCAGCGGGCGGCCTTCCAGCGCCCTCACCCACAGCTGCGCTGGCACGTGCGCGCTCCGCCACCCCTCGGCCTCAAGTTAGGCTTGTCCCGGAAAGCTTCAGACCGACCGCCTTCGCCCCCCCTCCCCTTCCCGCTCCGGCACGCGCTCCGTCTGGTTAGATAGTTAAAGGGGCGGGGAGGGGGGGGAATGTCAGAAGCTCCTTCTACTTCTGGAAAAGCAACTTTGCAGCAGTCCCCGTTTGCCCCCGCGCTGCTTTGGCACCATGGACACCGCCGCGGTTGCAGCCGTCCCTGCCCGCATGTTGCTTCTCCTCAGCTTGCTCCGGTTGCCGTCCGGACTGGGGACGCGCCAAAGAAGCTGCCCGGGCTTCTGTCACTGTGAGCCAGACGGGATGCTCCTGCGGGTGGACTGCGCCGACCTGGGACTCACAGATATGCCCGCCAACCTCAGCATCTTCACCTCTTACCTGTAAGTACAGAATAATAACAGAATAGAGTTGGAAGTCTAACCCCTGCTCTGGCAGGAAATCCTATCCCCTTCCAGACAAGTGGCTGTCCAGTCTCTTTCTTAAAAGCCTCCAGTGACAACTTATGAAGGCAAGCTGTTCCACTGATGAACTGTTCTCACTGTTAGAAAGTTTCTCCTTAATTCCAGATTGCTTCTCTCCTTGATTAGTTTCCAACTATGTGTCTTATCTTGCCTTTTGGTGCTTTGAAAATTAGGTTAACCTCCTCTTCTTTGTGACAGCCCCTCAAATATTGGAACATTGCTATCATGTCACCCCTAGTCCTTCTTTCCACTAGATTAGACAAATATAATTCCTGCATATGTTTTAGCCTCCAGCCCCCCTGATCATCTTTGTTGCTCTTTTCTCCACTCTTTCCAGAGTCTCTACACCTTTTTTTATAATATGGTAACCATATTATAAAATATGGTACGATTGGCTCAGAAGGGAGCAAGGAGGGGAGAATTATTTTTTGAAGCCAAGAAAAGGAGCAGATGCTTTCCCTCAAAGGTCCTGGATTACTTACACCCCTCCATCATCCTGTTAAGATGGAATGCATATGCTATTTGTAAAGGATGAAGAAGCAACAGGTTGGTGGAATTTGGGATAGAAACTAAATTCAACTAAATCAATCATCCAGGAAAACTAAAGTCAGTTAAATTCATCACCCAGGAAAACTAATAAGCACTGCATAAGTTATAGCTAGTTCGCTAAGCAGCATCCCTCCTCTGTCTCATCTGGTACTTTTGATCATATCATCCAAGACTTGTGTTAGCAAAGTGTTAGCAAAAGCAAACGAGGAGGTAGTGGGAATATATTTATTTCTTTGCATCTGGCATAAACTGACTCTAATTATTTCTCAGAGACTTGCTTCCCTGGGAATATTACAGAAATGTGGCATTTGGGACCATTTTATAAAAGCAAAGACATTCTAGATGAAGTATGCATCTTGTGAGAAGAGTTGGAATGAGGAAGCAGTTCTATGGGTATCATATTTTGTATGCCCATTTTGCAGATACAAAGATAAGATACACTATCACAAAACGGAAAGTTAAGGAGCTGGGGATATATAGTCAGTTTCACAAATAGTTAAAAACACTGTGCAGCAAAACCATGTATGGAAGTGCCAGATGTGATCCAGGGTATTTTCTGCTACAGACTGTAGTAACAATGTACGGAAAATATTAAGAATCTGGATGTCCATGATTCCATCAAATCCCTGAACTCGGGTCTATACTGTCACACTCAGTAGGATAATGTCAGGCTAAATAATTTGAGAAGAAATTTATTTAATTTGGGTTATGATTTTTTTTTTTTATATTCAGAACTGATATTGTTGAAGGATCATGGAAGGAATGGTGTTCTGAAGTCTGGTTAAAATATATATTCTAAATCTGATACAGATACAGATAATCAGAGTTGGAAGGGACCTTGTAGGTCATCTAGCCCAACCCCCCGCCAAAGCGGGAGACCCTACACCATTTCTGACAAATGGCAGTCCAATCTCTTCTTGAAAGTCTCAAGTGCTGGTGCTCCCACAACTTCTGAGGGAAAGCTGTTCCATTGGTTGATTGTTCTCACTGTCAGAAAGTTTCTCCTTGTTTCCAGGCTAAATCTCTCCTTGTTCAGTTTCCATCCATCCATTATTCCTTGTCTGGCCTACAGGCGCTTTAGAAAATAGATTGACTCCTTCCTCCCTGTGGCAGCCCCTCAAATATTGGAAGACCTCTATCATGTCTCCCCTGGTCCTTCACTTTAGTAGAGTAGCCAAGCCCAGTTCCTGCAACCGTTCATTGTATGTTTTAGCCTCCAGTCCCCTAATCATCCTGGTTGCTCTTCTCTGTAATCTATATTAAAATTTCTCTAATTTGCTTGTCAATGCCAAAGTCCATGTAAATGAAAAGAAAGATCAGAAACAACTGGTTAAATGATGGGTTATTATAGATTAATAATGTCTTTTTATTTTGTGTTTTCCTGTATTTCATTGTTTTATACAGCAACTGTAATTGAACCTATAATACTTTAATTTGACACTAATATTAAACTGGCCATATGATAAGGTTGGTATTTTTTCAAAGTTTGTTTCTTATGTTTTCAAATGCATTGAAATGCAAATGTTAAAAATGTCTACATGGGAAGTATTTGTATGCAAAAATTAATTTGCAACTTATAATTATGTTATATGATTTAATTGGTTTTGTAGTTTTAGTGAGAAACTGCTATCAGATGTACTATCTTGATATGTGTAACTAGACAATCTTTCAATATTGAAGGATTAAAACTGTATTGTGCAAACAAATTTGGGAGCCTGATGCCTGGACATTGAGGTGGTAGAGCATAATACTTTTTTTAAAAAGAAGAATTGAAACAGCTTTTTCTTAAAAATGTTTTGATCATCTGTTTATCAAAAATGGGATAAAGGCCATTTGCAGACTTTACTGAGATGTTAAATTACATATGAAGTATTTTTTATAAATAATATATTTTATTTATAGCAGTTTCCCCCATTTGGTGTCCTCAGTTTTGTGTGAAATTACTTCCAACTTTTATGGACGATGGCACTTTGAGAAAGTCTAATATATAATGTGTGTAAAAATAGCCACTTTTATAAATATGATTACACCTGCTGGATGTTATCTTTACTAGGACTTCCAAGTCAAGTCTTTGAGTGGCATTATTTAATCTTTAACTAATCCTGAAAGATACAACAGGTATCTATAAAACAGAGTAAATGTTAATGCTCTTAAGTATGAATGGGTGAGGGGGAAAAAATCAGGAACAAATCTATTATATAGAATCTATTAAGAGTATGAGTAAGCTCATGATCAATTTCTTTTTTTAAAAATGAAGGTTAAAGTAACAAGATACAAATTTTACTTATTTGTGAACTACACAGCATTGTTCTAATTAAGTGGGTTTCACGATTTTGCATCAGTTATGCATTCTCTTCACTGAAGTTGTGACTGTAGGTTTACAGTTTGCAACAATAACTGGGACAAAGTATCCTCAAACTAGTGAAGTTTACTCCTTAATAAAGGTGCAATAGATTATAGTTATTGTTAGGGATATACACCCTAGCAGAAC